CTACCATTAGATTAGGTGTCAGTGCACTGATTTGATTGGTAAGATTATCGCATAATTTCACCATGATTGAGGTCGTTTGTCCACATTTCATTCCGTTTTCACAGGTCCGGGGATGTGCTTCAGGTTGGCATTTGTTGGTACAGGTGCTGCACGTGGAATTCTATCACAGGGAACGGAGACGCATGCACGCGGGTAATGTGGTATGCTGCCTGTATTCTTTCCGAGTCTGCGAGGGATAAGTATACTGGCGGGACTGTACCGCTGCTGTGGTGCATTGTGGTGACCAGTGTTGGCCGATGAATGTTCGTTAAATTGTGGAAAGTGTGACGCCGTAGTGATTCTTGCGTTCGTGGTGTGGTGGGCACAGGGCGCCAATCATGAGTACAAATGAATAGTTTTGGTACATGGAAGGAGGAATGAGGGCGGAACTGGCCAAATTATAACTGTACAATGATATATATGTGTGTGTACATTTAGAGTGCTTTACATATTATTTCTTAAATTTACTGACTTTAATGATGCATACCTCGTGGCTGTAAGGTGTAGTTTTTTGTATATGCAATAATTACTAGCGATTCATTGGGTGGAAATTGTACATGGGTGACCCAAGGTTAACTGTACTTTCGTTGGCTCCTCTTCTTACTCCCTCGTTTCCAGCGTCGTCCAGTTGTTTGTGCAAACGTTGACCGGCGATGGTTAGCTGCCACTGCTGGCTGTTTGGGTGCCCCTCACGCAGCATTGGTAATTATTAAATATTGGCAGTCCTGATGTTTGTGCTCATTCGTATTAAATCGTGCCATTGAGTGAACTTATGGATTCCTGTGATGCACCATGTCACTTGTGTTCATTTTCCGCTGAAAGGAATAACTGGCGTGCGTTTGTCCAGTACTTACAGCATGATTGTTGCGTCCTAGCCGCTAATGGGGAAGGGTTGTGTGACTGATTGTGGTAAGTATGGGTGTAGTATTTTTAGTGATCACGAGTGGAATTGGTTGTTGCCACTGTGGTCGTTCTTGTTGTTTTTGAGA